CATCTCTCCTAATGTCAGTACACAAATTGACACAACTAAAATATAAATAAATAAATAAATTTTTTGAATAAATGTAAAGTTATGACAAAGCTTGGGTCATGTACTTTACAAAAAAACATGAAATTCAAAATTATTCTATAAAATAACATAACACCAGTGAGAAACGTAAACTCATCACTTTTTTTCCGAACTAGTCAAAACAACAAATCAGATTTTTACATACTTTTTCAATATTTTTTGTGAAGTTTTTTCTTTTAATTGTGTTTTGCCACAAAACAAGGGAACTAATCCCACAGAGCACCCAAAATTCCCTGAAACTTGACAGAACCTCACATGGCGAGGTTAGGAAACTTTAGTGGCATGGTTCATACAAGTTTGTGTCGATGTTTAAGGGGGGCGCCTACTTTATCGGGTCAAAAAAATCGATTTTTTAAAAGTTGTCTTAACTGAAAGTACAACTATCAGAGAATATGCTCTTAAAATATTATGTCAAAATACAAAGTATTTTTCGAGTTACATACAGCTTGTAGAACGCAATAAAGCGCGTGGCCTGGCGCGCGAATCCACTCGCGGTCTCTAATACTTTTCATAATTTGTTGCGCTTATCTACTATTACATCTACCATTAAAATTACCATTTATCAGTAAAATGTCGTCTTATCTAAGAGCTACCCATAAAAAAAATAGTCGTTCATCGAGGCCTGTGACTGCCGTAAGTTTTTAAAAAACAGCACTTATATGTTTTTCAATCTTTAAACTCGTTTTTCTCAAAACACTGTTTTTGTAGTTTGCGTACACGATAGACAAAAATCTATTCAACCGATTAAGGTCTACCTGGGCTTGTTTTGAAGATAAAAAGTGTCTCTTCTGTATGAATTAAATTTGTTTTTGATAGAGTTAAATTTAGTGCTTTTTTTTAAAGAAAAAATGAGATTTTTTTTGGCGAAAATTAAATTTTTTTTAAAAAGTCATGTAAAAATGTCAGTTTTTACTTTTTATTGAAATCTTTTAATTCATACAGAAGGCAATAATGTATATTTAAAGAAAAAATTTTGTTTTTTTGTTTTGGATAAGAATTGTGGACCCTAGGTTGTACGCAATGGGAAAATTTCAGCAGCGAGACGTTATATATATGGCGTTTATTTTATTATTAAATTCTATTTTCATTTAATCAAAAAATTATATTTCAAAGATTTAAATATATAAGAAAACATACACTAAATCTCGCATCGATTTATTTAAATGTGTTTGAGAAAAAAATTCCTGAAATGTACGCAGTTTTTTACATTCTAAAGTAGGCGCCCCCCTTAAATGTTCACATGAAAAGAATATTCACACGAAACTTTGAGGAAATATTACACATAAATATTCACGTGCAATGTTCAGTCAATGTTGTGTCAATATTGAAATTACATTTTCGCCTAGTTATAAAAATTTCATTTACTAATATAATAAGTATAGGTGAATATTGACACAACATTGCACGTGAATATTTATAGTGTATTATTTCCTCAAAGTTTCGTGTAAATATTCTTTTCATGCGGACATTTAAACATCGACACAAACTTGTATAAACCTTGCCACTGAAGTTTCCTAACCTTGCCGTGTGAGGCTCTGTCAAGTTTCAGGAAATTTTGGGTGCTGTGTGGGATCTTTAATAAGCGATACATAGCAGCAAATTCTATAAAATATTTGAATTGGCCATCTCTCCCACATGGCCAACTCCCCCGGACTTACCCTAGTCATATGTGCAACGTTTTTTCATCATAGAATATCTAAAAGACGAACTTTTACTTATTTTAAATCATTTCCAGTAATTTTCTGAAACTGCAGTAAATAAATCATTAGAAAAATTTTCATTTAACGAAAAATATTGTGCAATTGACATTCTTTTAATTTCATTTTTAATTATTAGTCAGTCTTAAAACATTCAGTTCTGCTAAACACCGGCTCACCGAGATTTTTCCCGACTTCCTGCCGGCCTAATCCGGGCCTGTGTAATAGTAAAAAGTTTATGATGTTCAGAATTAAAAAAAATAACTACATTACAATTATCACATGGCATAGATGAACATATTTTGGTAACCATAATACATACTTGTACCTACACCGAAAAAACAATATTCTAAAATTAAGTATTTCCCACTAACTTGAAGAATATCTCCCACTAAAATAGGTGCCAAGAATACATTCTAGATGTTAGAGGGGATTCACCTAGTGATCGAGTATAAGGTATTCTAATATTCAGTATAATCATTTGAGAGCTATAATGATGATAATATTCTTGAATGAAGAATAGAATATACTAAATTTAAAAATAGAGTATTCTACTTATAAAAAATTAAAATATTGATATTTAATACGAAAATATACATTAAATAATTCTGGAAATAATGAAAAATATTTAGTGCAGATTAAAAAGATAATTTTTTACATTAAATTTTAAATGATAAAATATGCTAAAAAGAAATATATGAGTTACCATCACCTCCTGTGCGAAGAAATTAGGGGTTAAATGATAAGTGTTCGTCATGTAACGCTAAAAACCACTAAAAAACAATTATATAATCTATAATACATTCTAAGGCACATTTTAACCTCTTCTATATTGACACTCGAAATAATATTTTTTTAATATTAATTTAACCCGAAACACTGAAAAAATTTACGCAGTACACGAGGACACCGGTATTTTCCAACTTGCTTCTGCGTTTTACGGTCGCGCAATCACACATGCGCATAACGCCTTTTCAAAGAATATTATATTCTAAGTTCTAGAATATATTCTTCTTTTAAGAATATTAACTATTATTGGAGATATAAGTGGGAGATATACTAAAAATTTTAGAATATATACTAATTAAAAAAATTTAGAATATTGTATACTTCATTTCAGAATATTTTTTTTTCGGTGTATAGTTTGTCTAAATTTTTATCTACTCCTGAACCATAGTCTTGCAACCAGTCGTCAATGCTATACCTATTTTTGAGTAATAGTATCTACTTTAGTAAAATGTAAATAAAATTTATCCCATGCTTAAATTTATTATGTTTAGAATTATAATAAATAAAAATAAACATGTGCGTTTATTATAGCTAGTAGCTATAAATTTTTATAAGATTAATTACATTACGTCTGATTAGAGCAATAACGTGCCAATTCAGAAACAGAAGCAAGAATGTCCCTATATAGAAAAAAACGTGCCAATTCATAATTTGTATTTTATTATTAATTTTTAAGTTGGCAACATTGTCAATATTTTAATTACTGTTATTTATTTTCTACACATAAATTTCTGTGAATATGTTTTCATACATAATTTTTTTTAACGTGAAAAATCATATTATTTACTAGCTTTGATTATTATTTTACAATTTTAATTCTTTCTGTAAATACATATATTTTCTTAAGTTTATTAGTTTTACAGTTGCAAATAAAAATTTCAAAGTTTATGGCAAAACGTTAAAATTGTTCTATTTTATATAATATTGTTTATAATAATATATAATAGTTTATAATGTCGTTGAGTCTTCAGATCTACTCGACTTTGGTAGTCGAGATAGAGGCTCATTCTTATTTGAATTTAAAACTTTCGACTTCGATTGTTAGATCAATAGGACAGATAAGAATGATCCAATTTAGACGTCAAACAATAGTGTACAAAAAAGAGATATTTAATATTAGTGCAGAACAGAGCTGTATTTGTTGTAATTTAGAATTAAAAGAAACAATATTTACAATGTCTAGTTTAGAATATACATCTGGTCAATTTTAGGTGGATCTGATGATGTCGAACGACTTAACCAAATTGAATAAATTTACAAATTTTGTTTTGAGTGTATTAAGGGTAGGTCCTAGTAAGGCAGCACCATCTATATCGAAACTAAAATTTTGGAAAATTATTTACAGTATTTACTTGAAAGCAAGACAATAAAATACTGTTTTCTTTAGGATAATTGATTATTGTCAAGAAATATACCAGCTAAAACTTTTTCTGAGTTAAAATAATGAAAACAAATTAATAACGATAAATTAAATATGAGCATATTTTTTCACGAAAACTTTTAAGATATTTTCTCAGAAATAACAAAAAAGAATGCAATTTTCATTTGGAGAATTAATAAACACTAAAAAATATACCAACTAAGATTCACCAATCACGAAAATAACAAAAAAAACTTTTTTTTAACATAGCATATCGACACTATTTTAACTGATTTTGACAGCCATTTGGCTGACAATTTTTACGTTTTTTGCAACTTTGACAGCTTTAAACTGGCAAATCGTCAATTTTGACCCCAAATTCATAATCAGTGAGCAAAAACACGTCTAGAATGACTATGGAGAAAATTTTAATGCACTTAATATTTGCACAGGAGCTTGAACAGACAAAAAAATGTCCTGTACTTTAGTATTATTAATTGCATTTTTTTGTTTCATTAAATGGAAATTATTCTTATCAAAATGTCAGGTTAGTTATACGTTTTAAAATGAATACTATTGTAAGTATTTTTATAATTTTAATTACAACTATAGTTTTTCATTCATAATTACAGATCTTAATATACATAATAAAAATTTGTCTATAAAAATATTTTTCTTGTATTTAAAATAAACTTGCACAGTGTCGGCATTTTTAACCTATAATGCTGCATATTTTTCCGAAATGAAATAATTTTTCCTATTTGTAATTGTTAATTTTATTATTCATTACACTAATTTCCATTTACATAAATAAATTTTTAAATAATATTGTATGTATACAATTTTTATTAGAGAAAAACTTGTCAATATTAAAATATTGACAATGTTGCCAACTTAAAAATTAATAAAAAAAATATAAATTCTGAATTGGCACCTTTTTACCTCTTTTTTGAATAGGGACCTTCTTGCTTCTGTTTCCCAATTGGTACGTTATTGAGCTAACCTGACGATTAGTTCAACACATAACTGACAAATATTGATTTATACATATATTGGAAATAATTAATAAAATATAGGCCTTTCCATAGCACGGGGTTCTGAATATCCAGATAAAGGTGTAACAACAACATCATTTTCTGATGAACATCGTCCAGATACTGCTTTTGAAAGGTACCGAAATGCCCGATTAAGTGGAGAATTTCATTCAGAAATAACAGGAAGAAGTCTTAGCGAATGTTTAGAAGAGTGTCTAAGACAAATTAGTTTCCAATGTAAAAGCGCTGTTTACTCCGAACATTTTCATACGTGTCGACTCAGCAGATTTAACCAACGAGACAGACATCGTACCATATTCGACGCAGATTATGATTATTATGAAAATCTTATGCGTAAGTACTTTATTATAATTACTTAAAAATTTACAAAACATACCGATTGTTTAATTCAAGGGCAATTAATCAACTTAATTTTACTCTAAAACTATTATATTTCACTTGAAAAATATGTAAAAATTATAACTAATACTCGGATAATGAAATTGTAATGATCTGAGTTGTTATCTTATTATATAAGATTCATGTCGAATCTTATATGAAAACCCGTGTAAACATATGATTTCACATGGATTTATTAAAAGGAAACAATGTAGGTTTTCATATGGAAATTTTCAGTTGGATAGTTTATGCAGACAGCAGTTTTAAAAATTATTTAATTAAAAATTAAATAATAGGGGAGACTGGGGCAAACCGGCCATGTGGGTAAACCGGCCAGGCGTTAATTTCTCAGAAATGGTCAAACTTTAAAATATGTCAATTATAAATTTGAAAAGACTATATTAAAAATAACTTATTTCTTCAGTTTGACATTTTTTAATTGTGTTTATGCAATTTTATAAACAAAAGTTTGTTTTTTTGCTTCCGCTAGAAATGTTTACAGATCTGTTCATAAGTATTTTGTGAGAATATCGTGTAATATTTATTAACATTGTTTTTTAGGTTTAAAAGGTGCATGCCTCAGTTAAATTTATCGGTATATTATTTAATGATTTTACTCAGAATTTTTTTTATACAGGTATAAATTTTCAAAATGGGCCTGTGGGGCAAACCGGCCTATGTCTGTTCCCCTTGCAACAGAAATTCACGAAGATTATTGCCTATCGGCTAGAAAACTTCGTGCACGGTTTTGTGAATCTTTGTCCACTTTACGGAGATATACGAAGTTTTACAAAGTTCACCGACAGACTTTTCTTCGTGAACGACAACAATTAGTTGAAAATATTTGTTTTATAATAAATAAGATGTTTCTTTAATTGAAATTTAATCGTATCTTATTATTTTTCTAATTGGGAAGATTGTTTATTGATTTTTTATATTTAGTGACGTTTTCTTTACAATTAATTCTCTAAACAAAAAAAAAAATATAAACTGGCCGGTTTGCTCCAGAGGGGTGGCCGGTTTACCTCAGGGGTGGGGCAAACCAGCCAGTTTGCAATTTTTTTTTAAATTAATGCAGCAGCTAAACAATGCATTGTAAGGTACATGTGTCTCTAGGAAAAAGTTGCGCAATTAGTTGTCCTTTCCAACAAGCTGTTATTAAAGATTTTTCATTAGTTTATATATAAAGTGGCCGGTTTGCCCCAGTCTCCCCTATTACTGCAATTCATCTGAAAAGAAAAAAATTCTCTCATTTCGTGAAGCATCTCTACTGCTAGTTACAGCAACTCGCCCAAGAACTTTTCCGTGTATAGGAAGATTACAAGAGTACTATTCATTTAGAATCCAATTTTTTGTATCTATAGTAAAAAGTTTCTTATTTATATCAAAATTCATTACAAATAACATTCAAAGATGAATAATGTTAACATCATATTTAAAACTCAAAGAATAAACATGTGTCAGGGAGTGGCCCTGGTTGTACAGCAGGTTTCGTTTTTTATCCATAACTTTTAATTGGTTCATCCAATTTTGATTGTTGATGTTCTATTTTAAAGCTAGTGTAAATACCTAACTTTTGCTTTAGAAACTTATTTTTTTAAAAACAAAAGAATTATGAAAGAATTTTAAAAGGCAGTGTTTTCAGACCAAGTAAAATTTGACCCCGGTTGTGCAGCATTTCCAAAAATTACTTAAAAATCTAAACATATGAAAAAATACAAATATAAAAGTAAATTTTTGTATTATTTAATTATTATAAAAGCCTTTAAAATTTACAGATTTTATAAATATTTATATATATTATATTTTATAAGTGTTTAACATTATATAAAGCTTTAAGTGCACATAAAATTGAACATGAAATTCTCTATATGAATCATGAGGGGCGTACAAATGTAAAATGAGACAAGGAGTCGAACGGGAAGGGGTTGCCACAGCGAAATTGCGGTTCTAGGGGGATCGGTCGTAGGTGCTCTAACCGAAACCTCTTTAATTTGCGCTACTTAATTTTGAGCGTTTTTGTTTTGTTTGTTTCTTTTTTTGTTTGTTTGAAAGGGAAAGGAGAGGTATTTTTTTTATTAATTTCTTTAAAACGTTGGCTGATCCGTCTCAACCTGTCCCGGTTTTCACGAGAGCGTTGCCGTTCCGGTCTGGGAATTCTATTCTCTCCAGGGCTCTGGCTTGTCTTCCTTTGTCCAGAAAGGGAGAGAGCGTTATGTTCATTAGAGGCCGTAAGGTTAGCGCGGAATTGAATTCCAATACTTTGGTGCTTATCTTTAACCAGGACGGACCCGCGTGTTTCCTTTTGCCCAAGCGTAGTGATCTGTGTAGGGAAGTCGTTTCAGGGGCGCCCCCTGGAGACACTTTAGAAGCCTGACCTGGTCGGTCGTGACTCTATAATCCCCTGGAACCTCTGACAGGCGTTTTTCCAAAATCTATGGAATCTCTTTGGTCCCGAAGTTTGTGGGGGATCTAAATACCGAGACTGAGGGCTTTATTTAGGTGGAACCATGTTCGGGTCCTGATTCGGCCGTTAAATCGGAAATCGTAACCCGAAAGCCTTTGGTAAGTAGCTCCCGTGGAGTAGGATTATATTCCACTTGGGGCCCGAAGATGACAAGACCTTCCGGTTGATATATCGGGTCTGATAGCAATTCCTCCAATTGGATGTCGGTCCTATCAGGTTGGGAATCCGGAATAGGTATAGTAATGTTGAGCAGGGCGCGGGAGTGTTCTTTCTAGAGCTCCAAGATAGTCCGGCTGCGGCAAGTTTGGCCTGAAGTTTTTGGCTCTGGCGCAAGTTTCTCCTGTTCCGACAAGACGGCATCTATAAGAAATTCTGAATACTCATTAAGATCCCGAGTATCCATTATGAAGAAAACAGAAAGAAGGCGGATGTCTAAAACAGGGAGAGGAGATTCCAGTAGAAAAGAGAAAAATATCCCTGTAAAAATAGGGACGAGGAACGGATATCCCTGTAAAAATAGGGAAAGGATATCCCTGTACTTGGAGCATTGAATGGTTACAATGACTGTGGTCGAGTGTGGTGAGGGATAGAGAGGGGGAAGCGAGTACAAGAAGGTATTTACAATGTTATAGTGAAGGTTTATTTCCAAATCTCATTGTAGGTGAGTCAAGGGAATCGAGTGAGAGCGATGAAGAGGATGAGGTCCCTTTTATAGGCGGAATGACGCCATCTTCACCCTTTGGTAGGGGTAAGAGTCGTCCTCCCCTCCGAGAGACCATTTCTCCTCATCGATTCTCTATCGATTTTAACAAATACCCAGATGAAGATACAAATAGTACTTAAATAATAAATAATATAATAATATTCAACAATATTAATCCTAATAACAAAAGAAATGATAATAATAAAAATCATTGCAAGTTTGGAAACTATCAATAACAAAATAATAATATAATATAATAATATAATTTCTTAATAATAATACAATATTGAGAGGATTAATCTAAATATAATAGTAAAACAAAAAAAGGTAAAAGGTACAGATATATAAATATATGTGGTAAAATTCCTGTAGCGTACTAAGTGAAAAAAAAGTTGATCGGATACACTGAAAAAGTCTTAAGCGATCAGCAGTTCCAACAGTGGAAATGCAGTAGCTCTTTGCTTTGGAGTGTCTGGAGCATGATTTTGAGCAACCTCTATGCTAAATGTTGGGCGAGCAGATGTTCCACGTTATTGTTACCAAGATTTGGTGATGCTGCAGCATCAGACTTGGGCACTCAGAGCACCCAAGATGGGAAACAGTTAGCCCCACAATGAAGTTGTTCAGAATCTCTTTATTTGGTGCTTCTCATACATGCGTTGGGAATTCTAAACGCCCAAGACTTTTTCAGTGTAGGGCTGTAACTTCAACATAGTCTAGCCCTAGGGGTGAGTACTTTAATCAAGAAGTATTGTTAAGTTTTTTCAAAAACTGTCGGAGAGAGAGGGGGATGAAATTTTTTGAATAATTTAAACAGTGAATTTCTGAAGACTTGTAACTTTTAAACAGAAAGAAGAAAAAAGATTTGTCCTATATGTTTTCGGAAGGTTTTTTCCTGCTCTTTCGAATGGTGCAAAACTTTTTTTAAAAAATTCAAATTTTGACCCTTTTTTTTGAAAATCAAGTTTTTTTTAAGTTCGGTCCTTTTTATTTTTTCTTATTCATTTTTTTAAAAGCTAAAAATGTGTATTTTTACTACCAAAAATATTGAGATGTTCTTTTTTGTTATTTTCGAGATATTAATTAATTAATTAATTAATTAATTAATGTTAATAAGAATGAAATATTACACAAATAAATAAAGTTATTGCAATTCTAAAGCTACCAATTAAAAGCTGACTCAATTCCGCATCCAACGAGCCCTGTCCCCTCTCTCCTCCCACTCCCCCGCAAAAAATGACCTAAATTTTAAGGTTATGTTCGTTTCAAGACTCTGAATAGAGCAGCAAGTCGTTCCCTCTTCCCTCATCTCTCTCCGTATTTCGCGCCAAGAATCACATAAATTATGAGGTTATGTTCATTTCAAGACTTTCAATACAGCCGCAAGTGGAGGCAGATTTCCTGCCAAAAATGACCTGAATTTAAAGGTTATGTTCGTTTCAAGACTGTGAATATAGTCGCAAGCCCCCCCCTCCTTCTTTACGTTGAAGGAGAGGTGGATTTTCAGCCGAAATTGAACTAAATTTTAAGGTTAAGTTATTTTGTCGGGAAATGACCAAGAAACAAACATAACCTCAAAATTTAGGTCAAACTTTGAAGGAAAATGACCAAAAAACGAAAATAACCTTAAATGTAGGTCAAATTTTAGCTGGAAAATTTAAAAAAAAATTAGATAAATTTTGTTTTAAAAATTGAAAATAATAAAAATTATTGTTAATGAAAATCGTAAATAACATTGAAAGAAATATATAATAAAATTTAAGAATAATTTTAAATTCCAGAAAT